TGATCACAATAACCTTTGACTCCTGAAGATCGACCTTACAGTGAAATCTGTAGCTAACGGTATGCCGGGTGCGGGAGTCCGTGGTACCGGAGGATTTGCAATCGATCAGTCAGCCGCGCTTGGCGCTGCGCAATGATTCCGCGCGTGGGGCTTCAGTCAGATCGTGGCCCTCGCCCAATTGAAGACGTTCTACAAACATCCCCTGAACATTCCGCGTCTAAATGGATCTTTCGTAACCGAAAGCGAGGTAGGATGACAGAGTTATCTTCTTTACTCTCATAGAGGAGCGGCGAAACACTGGTTGGATAGATTTGCTGTTACCCAAGTATCTGGGCACAACAATGCATAGCTGTCGACACACAGCATCGTCAAATCTTGCTTCGACCTTTCAAACTGAGTCTTACAGATTACTACCGGGGTACTTTGTTTTTACTAACAAATCTTGCGCATAAGCAGGAACGAAACATTATTGAAGGTTACGAGGCTGTGGTATCGACGCCCAGGTAGACGCGCAGAGAAGAGAAAGCACCTGCTGTGACAGCAATATGCCACGGAACTCAGCTGATGAATGTACCTAGTGCAAGGAGCTCCGAAATTGATTACGGTTCATGACTTGGAAAGAACCCACGGCAAGCCACAGCAATACAATAATCGCCTCACTATCATACTCAGAAGAACAAAGCTAGCAATGCATGCGTTTTAGGGATTCATAATAGTAGCGACAAGTCTTACATGCAGTTCTTGGCACGTGAGGGGAAAAGGACATGTTTAACTCCTCGCCATACTCCAAGATACGTCCAGCTCCTCAAGAAGATCCAAGGTAACAAGGGGCGAAGGTAGGCGCAAGGCCAAGGCAATGCGTACTATTGCAACGAAAAAAAAAAGACCGTTCTCCATACTCCGGTACAATGATAAAACAAGCAAATCGCACAAGGGGGAATCATCGCTGTATGCTGCAAAGAGAGCCACACCCACTGGGCATGATAGCCTTGGACACCCCGCGCCAGTACCCATGCCCGTGCGTTAATGAAGCCAAATACAACCCAAACGACTCAACACCTTGCCATGATTGAAAGGACAGGATATAGTGGCAACAATAAATGAAGACCGAACATGCAAACGCTCCTCGATGAGCACCCTCAACTCCTCAATCATGACTCATAATGGCATAACAAATGTCTGTTGGTGTCTCTAGCGTCCCATCATGTAAGTGGAATAGCCTGAGAAGCCGTTCCCAGCACCACTGGACGCAAGAGGCTGGCGCATAGCACCTGCCATGTCGTTGTGGCCCATGCCAAAACCACCATTGGAATACATGCCAAAGCCAGAGCTGTTGTTTGAGTGTACTGTGGTGGACAAGCCCGGAGGTACTGACAAGCCAGGCGGTGGGCCGGTAGCCGTGGAAAAGCCAGGCGGGCCTGCGGCACTGCTACCGAAACCCGAAAGAGGTGTGGAAGGAGCAATGGCAGACTGCGGGCCCATGACGAAATTCTGGCCACTACGTACGCCCAAGGGATTCTTAGAGAAGCTCAGTCGGATGCCGCCCTTGACGCTGTTGTGGAGCATGTATCCATAGAGCTCATTCAGAGCCTTGGTAGCAAAGGATGTGTCTTCGAATTCGACAAAACACATGGGTCCATTCTGCTTGGTGCGGAAACAGAGTCGCTTGTACCCACGTTGCTTGGAGAAGACAGCTTTGAGCTCATCTTCTGACGTGTCCATGGGAAGATTGCCCACGTAAAGAGTGTTGCATGGTGGGTTTTGATCAGCGGGGTTTACTGGGGGATAAGTTGACCGTGCGAAATGCTGCGTATACTGCTGGTAGCCTGTATTGGGTCCGCTGCTCAATGCGGAGGGAATGCTGTGTGGTGACAAGGCAGACAAGGCTGGGCCGGGCGACTGCATGTTGGATCCAGAACGTGGAGAAGCAAAGTTGGATAGAGGCGGGGACGTGGCATTCGTCACTCCGTTTGTGTTTAGAGAAAGAGATCCGAAGCGCTGTATGGGAATGGAAGGGGTATGGGGGTTGGTAGCGCGACGCTGCATGCTGGAGTGCATTGGCGGGCCACCCGTGGCATATCCAATCGACTCGTTAAGCAGGCCATCGTCGTCGTCGGCGTCTTCATTGATGACCGACTTGCCCAGATTGCGGCTCGTGAAGGAGGTGTTGACGGGGGATGTCGGCGAGAAAAGGTTGGTGACCGGGAACTCTCCGTTGCCAAGACCTGGGGTCCCGTTGGGTGGGGACATGTTCTCCATGTTTTGGAAGGTGCCGTTGTATCGCGATGACTGCCGGGCGTTGATTGTCGCGCCGGTCATGGCGCTTGTGCCAGACGGTTGTCGCGCCGGCGTGCTGTCGACTGTGTTGCGGCGCGAGCCGATTGCGCCAGGCGATGCGTCCTGCGTCAGCTCGACGACCAGCGTCGCATCGTTGGTTGCATTGCGCTTCCCGTCGAGGAGGTGACGCGCTTCTTTCGCGCCGTCGAGCGTCTGGAAATGCGCAATGGCAGATGCGAAGCCCTTGTCGTCGGCATGTCTGGACGGTGGAAGCATCTCGCAGTCGATCAGGTCCTTGGCGAACAGCAGGATGTTGCGTACGGCGTCGCGATCGCTGCTGCTCGGGAGTTTGCGCAACAGGATGGAGTAGCGCGCGTGGTTTGCGGGGCTCTTGTCGAGGGGCCTGCGCTCTCCGACGGCTCCCGGCATGGCGTACATGTGCGGTGCGAAGACGTCGGCCGTCATGGTGTTGTGCGATGCAAAGGGCTTGGGCGGCGACGACGAGGTGGAGCTACTGTGAGAGCCGTGAGAGCCGTGGGGGAAGGGGCTGTTGGACAGGTTCGAGGGGCTTGTGCTGCTGGGACTCGGCCGGGCGGCCATGGCGGCCTTTGTCTTGACGGCGGTGCGGCGGGTGTGGCTGCGACAAAGGACGCGGCGGCGCAGAAGAATTGCGCGTCGGCGGCGGTCAAGATGGCGACGATGGTGAGGATGGCGGCAGTGATGGTGTTGGCGACGGCGGCAGCGGCAGCGGGTCCTGGGCAGGTGGTGGGTGTCGGGGGCAGTGGAAGTGGCAGGCAGGGCACGGCGGTCGAGGGCGTGAGCGTGGGCGGGCGGCGGGCCTGGGCGATGCGCGCTGTCGAGGCTCTGGCACACGCAAGAGTCAAGCCAATGGGCGGCAGGGCAGGAATCGCAGCCAGCGGGGGATGCAATGCAGCAGAGGCGGAAGGGCGATAGCGGCAGCCTAGCACTTCATCATTCAAGGCAGAGGCAGTGGGCAGGCGCAAGCAATGGGGCGGCTATGGGAGGGGAGGAGAGGCGGCAGAAGTGCAAGTGAAACCCTCAGGATAGCGTTGACGGGGGCGCGACTGCCCACTTGGTGATGCGCCCAGGGAAGGCGCGTCGGAGCTAATTTGATTACTGTGCGAGTCCTGGATTCACCCGTCACACAGGTACCCCATCTCGACCACTTGACGACGCGCTGCGCTACACCAGCCTGCTCGATTCCCACGGCGGGACTCGTCTCGTTGGGCTGCTTGCCGTCTTGTTGGCCCTCCGGCTCTTAGCGGCCTCGAGTATAGCCAGGGCTGACTTTAGCCTCTCCCCCATCGTCGTCGCGGCCTGGGCGAGAGAGATCGGCCCCAAGATGCACCGCTCGATCCACGGAACTATCGTTCATCCACGGGCCCCTATCTGCGGGCCAGCAACCAAGGCATGCTGACATTGCACGTCCGTTGTGTTGAGCCCAACCCATCGTCACCCGTCCAAGCTGCTTATCCGTCCCATCGTCTATCAGGCAGACGTGCACCATCGGCCTTTTCTGCCAATCACTGTGCCTTGCGCCTAGACTCGGCATGCCGGTACACACCCCGGGCCAAAAGCAAGTTTCGTCGAGTACAGTCAGTCTGTCCCTCCATGGCACATACTCAGCGCCGCTGCCCAAGGGTCTGAAGAAACCCATCTTGTGCACCTGTGAGAGGTGCGGAGACGTTCATTCGCCCATTGCTTCGGCCATGCACCATGCTTCTTTACTGCCTTTGTCCAATCATAGGTGTGCTCACCCGTCTTTTTCCTACGCTATCCTTCTGCCCCTCATCCATGGCCCCACGACACATATCAATGGTTTACGATCGATTGTCATGTAATTCCACACATATTTGTTGAAGTAATCTGTTGCTTCGGTCTAATGGCCGCCGCAAGGCAAGGCAGAAAGAGTGCTTCCAGTATCGCGTGTTGTGGGGAACGTTCCAAGGCCTTGATTAACGTTCGACTAGACTATCGCAGCGATTGGCCTGACTGCCTGGGTCTGCGCAACCTGCAACGTAGGAACAAGCTCCAACTGTGAACGCCGTTAGGAATCTCACCTCTCGGATTGTGGCTAGGACACGCTAAGTTTCGGTTGTAGAAATGGTAGTCTCTGAAGCTGGAAGGAACATGAACAGTTCGCATTCGCTTAGAACGGCATGCCTCATGGTAGGTTGAGTAGCCAATCATCACTGCGTAGACGACGCCACTATTGCCATACGTCACCGTCTTGCGGCCGTAAATCATACATATCGACCGCACCGGGTCAATCTGCTCAACTCATCTGGCGTGTTAACACTACCGAAAGCGAGAATACAATCCTGCAAACGCCGCATTCTACTGCAGGCATCCACAAAAGGGCATTATTGCGATACGTACGTCAGACTGTGTGATAGTACTCGACATAGTATAAAGGTGAGCACAAGACCACGATGAAACAATCATCATCTTCTTGAATTCCAGCACTACAGACACAACTTGAACGCTTCAAAAACTCAATTCAAACACCTCTCATCATGTGTTGCAGAAAGAACCGTCAGAGATACTTCGAACAACAAGCGCTGTATTCGCCACCTGCGCGAGGCTGTTGTGGACAACGTCGAGTACGTCTTCAGACAAGCGCCCAAAATACTTCCAACTTCTCCGAACGACCTACCATGGTAAGCTTACAATGCACAAGCTGCACAAGACAACTGACTGACATGACCAAGGCTGGCCTCCTTGCCATCAGTCTCGGCCTTGGTGCCGAGAAGCTGGGACGTACCATATCCGAGAAAAGACTCGAGCGCAAGGAGAAGAAGGCTATTGCTGTATGTTTCGATCTTGAAACGTTTGTCATGATGTCAGCTGACCGGCTCTTATAGCAACATGAAGCAATTTATGGCTCTTCATCATCGGCGCCACCGCCGCCAATCACAACTCGAGAGCAGAATAGCAGGACGGAAAAGAAACGAGAGGAGGCTCAGCGCGCACTGGATGAAGCTCGTCAAGAGTCACCAAGTGCGCCACAGTACGAGAGGAGACGTCGAAGTATGGAGACAGAGAGGGTCAGTAGTGAGGAACCGCCGCCAAGTTACGATGATGCAGTACGTCACGATGGAAAGCGTTCTTGACTTGTCCATATCTGCAGTGGACATGTATTCTATACGATACTGATGTAAATGTGGGTTGGCATGATGATTCTAAGGTTCATCCTATTCTGTAACTATCTTTGATTAGCGAAAACTGTCCTGTTGTTGATGAAATCAACGCCGCTCTTGTCACCTGAAATGTCTTGCTAGCAAGTTCAGAAGCGTCAGTAGATTTCAGTGATCATATTGTACACCAGGGAGTCGTCGGGTGGAGGGTCACGATGCTCATTTGTGCCAAGACACTAGTGCACGTAGCGCGTCACTAGAATTTCCTGCGAGCTCCTCATTTCTCTGCAGTCCAACCTACCACTCCCACCACTAGACTTCTTCACGTGTACACGACTTCCCTTCTTGTTCCTTTCATCTCCAACCCATACCTGCGCCAATGCGGTAGCCTCCCACATCTTCAACATGCCTCCTCGGTTACGGTGTCAAAATTTCTCAACACCGGCCACCCCATCGCAGGCCACTCAGTGCTTAGCTGCACGGCCACAGGTCGCCTGGAGCCCATCACGGCATTCGCGACATTTCTCACAGACACCATGTCCACAAATCACATTACGGCGGCGGAAATTTTATGAGTGGCTCAATGGGCCGGGTCGGCAGCTCAAGGAACCTATACCCGACTCCACAAACTACCTAGGAGCTTACGACAAGTACGGCAATCTGGTACGCGCTGGCCCTGGATGGCGGAGAGATGGAGGTGCAAAGGCTGCTGCCTCGACTGAGGCAGAGCAAGCTGGAGCAGAGGCCAAGGCAGAGGAGATCACAGAAAAGGCAACACCTGCAGGACAGGAGAGCCTGGATGCACTAGATGCTGCCATTCAGTCTGGTGCAGCTGAGGAGAAGGACACCAAGAAGCCGAAAGAAGCGGACAATGACAGCAAGCTTCCGCCTGAGACGGCAGAGGACTTGCGGCCCTTTCCCCTCAATCAGTGGTTCCGCAGCCAGCCAGTATTGAGCGAAGACCTCCGGGAAGCAATCTGGCGGAGAGTCAAGAAAGATGGGGCGACAGTATCGCTCGCCAGTGTCGAGTTCGGCGTCAGCAATGAACGCGTCGGCGCTGTTGTGCGACTGAAGCAAATGGAGAAAGAGTGGATAGCGCAGGTATGTTCTCACATTTTCATCAATTCCCCCACAACACGACATGATGAGCTTCTTAAAAATCGATTAGTCTTTAAGACATCCACATGGTTACAAAACTTAAGTCATGCTCTTGCTGAACGTCGTCGGCTTGTTCTTTGAAACAACGGAAACACACTGTATTACAATTGCTAATCCAATGTGTACAGGGCAAAACACTCGCGCTACCTTACTCCAAGGCGGTTCTTTCCATGCTTCCAACAACCCCACACATCGATACCTCGCTCCCTGGGAACAAAAACAAACGTCCTATCACGCACGAGCCCATCAACGACCTCGCGGTACATCCCGCGACACGCCAGCAGCTCTTTGTGCCTGTTGCTGAGTCTCGGCAATTCACGCGTGAAGATGCTGGCAAGGCTTTTGACAACACGCTGTTGCCAGCCGACGCACGCATCCCTCATCCAGAACTGGTGCAGGCTGAGCGTGAATTGCAGTCTGGACTTTCGTTCGAAGAGCGCAAGAAGCTTGCCGAGCAGCGATTTGAACAAGAGCAAGCAAAGAAGAGGCAAGAAGAGAAGCGCAAGGAAGAGGAGCTGAGGGCCATGAAAGTGGTGCCGCAGCGGAGGTGGGATTTCGTCTTCAAGGACGTCAGCGTAGAGGCTGCAGGCATAGACGGCAGAGGCGCCGCGGCTGCTGGATGGCGGTATGGTGTGCCGCACCAGGACCGCAAACGAGGCATCCCGAAGATCCCTACGCGGGTTGAAGCCTAAATTTATGTATAATGCTGTATATATAATACATGATGATCTGACGCTGGCCTTCACCGGTACTGCATCTTCTGGCCACCTCGCTTCTCCATCTTGGCCTGTCTCTTGCTTGCTTGCGGCTGGGGCACACCGGCTGCATCCTGGTATCCACCCCTCATGCCCGTATAGGTGGTGTAAGCGGAATAGGCACTGTAGACGGGGATCACAATCCACAGGAGCCAGGCGTAGTCTCCCACAATGGCAGCCATGACAATGCAGCCATACGTCCAATAGACGACATCCCACATGTACTCAGTCAGGCCCTTGGCTTCGAGGTCTTCGCCAGGTCGCTTGACGGCGCCATCGGCATCGAGGGTGGGGCGCGAGAGGCGCTCGAAGTACAGCTGGATGAGCAGTTGCGGAGCCGAGAGGAGTAGATAGACGATCAATGACTTGCGTGACAGTGAGGCGCGGAAGACGAGGGCACGCAGGAGCCACCAGAGGCCGTGGACGGCGAGGGTGATGTAGAGGGTCTGGTTGAGGCGCTGGGCATTGGAAGCCGCGAGCGTCTTGGTGGCTTTCTACGGGGACTGTCAGTGACGGGTGCGTGGGAGTGGGCGGCGGGCGGGCGGGCGTACCTTGGCCATGGTGAAGGTGCGATGTGGCTGTGACTGGCTGGACGTGTGCAGAGAAACGTCGTGCGTCTCTAGGCGGGACATTGTTTTGTTACATGTCTTGGCACTCGTAGCGCGTAAACCTACACCTTGACCGCGTCCACCCGCCTGCCCGCAACATCACCACCGCCGCCGCTCCAGCCAACGCCGCCCCGACTATGAGCGCATTACCTTGAGTCTCCGCCCTGTCTCCGCCGCCGCCCAGCAAGCATGTCAGCACCCCCAGGCGTAAATGCCCAGCTGCGCCAGATCGTATACTACCACCTCGACAACGGCTTCGCTGAAAACGCCCTGTTCTTTGCCGGCCGCCTGCACGCCCTCGACCCCCGCAGCCACGATGCCGCGCACCTACTTGCCCTGTGCAACCTCCGTCTGGGGAGATACAAGCAAGCCCTGGACGATGCGCGGGCCAAGGGCAACCACACCCAGCATCTAGGATGCGCCTACGTCTTTGCCCAGGCCTGTCTCGCCCTCGGCCGCTACGAGCAGGGAGCCCAGGCTCTGGAGAAGATGCGCAGTTCCTGGGCAGGGCGCAACCACTGGAGTGAGTATTATAGGAGTAAACACTGGTGACTTGTATTGACATTCGGCACAGACAAGCATTCCGAGACCTCACGACGCCATGTGCCCGACGCCGCCGCCTGCTACTGCATGCTGGGAAAGCTGTACGCAGCCCACGGCGACTCCAAAAAGGCCATTGAACACTTTGTCGCCGCGCTCAAGATCAACTCCTTCATGTGGGATGCCTTCACCGGTCTCTGCGATATTGGCGCCGTCGTCCGCCCTCACAACATCTTCAAAATTACGCCCGACATGCTCCCTCCCGCCTCCTCATACAACCTTCAGCCTAGAATGAATGGCCGCAGCGCGCAGCCGCCTTCATACAACGACGTCGAAAACCCCTTTGTCAACGGCCAAAACATGCACGACGAGCACGCCATGATGGGCGAGGCTGGCGGCCCAATCCAAATGCGCCCCATAACATCAAGAGCCCGTACCAAGACAAACCCCGAGAGTGATCAGACGGACATTCCGCGGCCCGTGTACCAGAACGGACATAAGAGAACCGTATCTGGCCATTCTCTGCAACAGCCACAGCCCCACTCACAAGCACCGCAGCAACCTCACTCCCATTCACAACAGCAATCGCAACCGTTCGATCCCACAGCAGCTCCCCCACGGCGCAGTGTACGGCTGCTGAACTCCATCACTCAGATTCGGCCTTCAAGTAGCAGACCAGGCGGCACATCAAGCAGAGACCTCGAGTCGAAAGAGCGGCGCGAGCTACGGAAAGCAAGGGCAGCAGCTCCCAAGCCACGCTCAGGGACAGGCTCGACTGTGGGCAGAGTTGTTAGTGGCAACAGGAAACCGCATGTCGACAATTCTGAGCCCTCAAAGCCGGAGAGACCACGGAGCGTGGCGGAGACGACTGTCGCACCGCCCCCAAGAATGGGTCCGCCCGCAGATACTTCACGGGACCGAGATGTCTTGAGCTGGCTCCTGGACCTGCTCCTCAAGATAGCTTCTGGATACAGGCATCTGAGTCGCTATGATGCATCAAAGGCACTTGAGGCATTTGGACTCGTGCCCAAGTCACAGCGGGAAACACCTTGGGTCCTGGCGCAGATCGGCAAGGCCCACTATGAGCGCACCCATTACACAGACGCAGCCAGCACGTTTCGAAAGATACGAGAACTGGCACCTGCTTCCTCAGAGCATATGGAAGTATATTCCAATACGCTCTGGCAGCTCAGGGACGAGGTGGCCTTGGGTCATCTTGCACACACGCTGATGGATCAAGATCGTCTCTCTCCACAAGCTTGGTGTGCACTGGGCAATGCAAGCTCTATAAACGGGCAGCATGACGAAGCCGTCAAATGCTTCGCTCGAGCTACCCAGTTGGATCCAAAGTTCGCCTATGCTTTCACCCTCCAAGGTCATGAGCATGTCGCAAATGAGGAGTTTGATAAAGCCATGGCGGCTTATCGCAACGCCATCAGTGCCGATAACAGGCACTACAACGGTTGGTACGGTCTTGGAAACGTCTACGAGCGTCTGGGCAAGTACGAAGTGGCTGAGAAGCACTATCGGGCAGCGGCGGAGATCAACCAGAACAACGCCATGCTCCTTGTTCGGATAGGCTTGGTGAGTAATCATTGCCCTTATTTGTCTGTCGAATACTAACATGAGTACGCAGGTTCTGGACCGCATGAAGAAGACTGAGCCCGCATTGCTGCAGTTCGAAAACGCGATCAAGATCGAACCACGCTCCGTTATGGCACGCTTCCGCAAATCGCAAGTCCTGCTGAAGTTGAACGCGCCGCAAGAGGCCCTACACGAGCTTCTCTACCTGAAAGACGCTGCTCCAGACGACCCCAACATACATTTCCTGCTAGGTAGGTGTTACAAGAAGTTGCGAGACCGCGCGAGCGCCATCCGCCACCTCACGATAGCCATGAATCTGGACCCGAAGAGC